CCATTTTTTTTTCGTTCCCTACTAGACAAACAGTCACAGACACCATATGGTGATGGAGTAATCACTTTCTACTAGACAAACAGTCACAGAAACCTTATATTGATGAAGAAAACCCCTTTTTTAGAAAACAACAGTCACAGAAACCATATGGTGGTGGAGTAATCACTTTGTACTAGACAAAGGTTACATAAACCTTATGATGGTGGAGTAATCACTTTATACTGAAGTAATATTCACTGAATCCTTATGGTTGTGTAGTAACCATGTTCTACTAAATTTACAGTCACAGAAACTTTATTGTTGCTTTAACATTAATGGAAACCTTTGAATAAATAACGAATCACAGAAACCATATGGTGGTGGAGTAATCACTTTTTACTAAACAAATAAAAAATTGCAAGTACTTTAAGGTGGTAGAGAAATCACATTATACTGAATAAGCAATCAATGAAACCTTATGGTGGCGGAGTGATCCCATTCTACTAAACAATTACAGAAACCCTGTCGTAGTGGAATCATTATTTTCTACAAAACAAAATGTCACAGAACTATATTGTGGAGTTACTGGAGTAATCACTTTCTACTAAACAAACAATCATAGAAACCCTCCAACATAGTGGTGATACATCGAAAGGACTTTCCGATTGTTTTTTTCAAAAACAGGTGATAATTATCAATATAATTTGTATGTATGTCGATTTTCTAATCTCAGTCACCATCCAATGTGGAACCACATTCCTCTAACGAAAAGTGTCTAACGTCACGCGCATAAGATCTGCAAAGGCAATGAACATGTATCATTTGTTTCTTAGGTAAGTTCATTTCTGGAAGTATCAAACCCGAAACCCTTGATTTACAAGGCAATCTTCCTAATCACTAGGCCATGCTGACCCAAAGCTGAACAAATTTGAGTTAATGAAAATTAAAGAAAAAGTATAACACTAATAATCAGGTTTCAACATCTGTAATGGACTGTAACTACATCTACTTTAAATTGATAAAATTAGAAAAACTAATTGCTTAATACATTTGGAAACGTTACGAGTTAGAAAGGACTTGATGTTTTAATACATTTCGAACCCTTACTCTGTGTATTATTCGTCATAAGAACTTATGAATGAAAGTAAGGAAGAATGTATTAATAGGTCAACCACACTATATCTGATGTATCCGTTGGTTACTTACGAGGCCTTTCACTGATAACAAGGGCTCATCAGGTTGACGGATACAGGTCGAGATGGTATTTGTCACCAAATCACCTGGTGATCTGTAATTTTTATCAGTGTTATTTAAATCACTAAAGATCTGAATTATTTCTTTCTTTCTCTCTCTCTCTCTGTATATATATATATATAATTTCTCTTTCTCCCTCCAAATACCAAGATAGCGTAAAAATCAAAGTAAAATCTAAGCGTCAGTCATTGGTTACGGGTTCGTGTTTTTGATAGTTAAATTTACCAAACTTTTTCTAGTCCCATGTTTTTGTAACACGATAAATAATGATTATATGGGTAATAAACGTGAAAATAATCACTTTGGCTCGATAAATATGGAATTACATAAATAGATCAAAAGGTAAGATTAGGCCTAACAAAATGTTTTGCAATCTCTCTGACAAACCGTAAATAATGTGCCGCGTATCTGTCACTTTTAAATTAAACCTTAATTATTATCACATGTCGTAAGACTTAAAAAATATATATATTACAGCTTTGTTAGAAACTAGTTTAATGTGTAGTATTTTAATTCTTTTGTTATTAAAGGTAATGTGTATGAGGTGCTGCATTTAAAATTTAATTATTTAAACCATATTTACACAACATTTTATATTAACCAGTATTGAATCATGAATGTTAACATATTTTCTCAATCATATTCATTAAATATTTTATATTAAAAATTATTAAAACATAATATGCACATTAAGACGTTTTTTAAAGGTCATTTTACACTGTACGGGTTTCAAGTCCAGTTTAGGATTGTTAAACTGATTGCCTGATCTTGTATTTACATTTGATAACCACACGAATTTGTTGTTACTGTAGCTTACTTTGTAATTATACTGTGATTTGTTCTCTACATATATTTATATATGTTTTTATGTACAACAGTATAATATTGACACTGTGTTGTTCTAGGCTTTATAAACATAAAGTAGTAACATTTGTTGATGTAGTGGTCTCTTATGTTATCTCTTACTAAGGACTATTTTAATGTGCCTCTGAATAATTTGGGCCATGTGATGTAATTAGTGTGTTATTTTTAACATAAAATATGAACAACAAAGGGCTTTTTGGTCCTTCAATGCTGTTCTTGCACATCTACTTATGAGAAAAGAAAATCTTCAATCCTTACTGCAGTTTTCAGTACAAGATCAACTCTGCTCTTAAATTCACTACTGTTGATGACAACTCATTCTATAAGTTCTCCAGTGTAATTATATTATTGAGGCATATCTCTCCATTGGGTTGGAAACCCTACTCTCGAGTTAATACATACATGATTTAATTTTTATATGAAACTGTTTTAAAACATGTTGGTCACGTGTTACACATTCTGTTTCAAAATACATTAATGTCACATAAAACGAGCTTGTTACAGTTTTAGTATAAAGAAGTTAAAGTGTACAATATTCAAGATAATATGAATTTCAAGATTTTTATTTGTTGACAATTATAATGACCTTTTAATTTTAGAAGAATGGAATTTCTAATTATTAACCTGTTTCTCCATAGTCCAAGAATATAAAGGTGAAGCTCTGATGTAACCATGGAAGTATTAAAGGTGAAAGGTGAACCCTTTTCTAATGAGGAGCAGGATGCTTTATTGAATATGAAGTTGGTGAAAAATGAAGAAGAAACTTTGTTACCTAGTAGTAAGTGTATATGTTTAGAAAATAAATGTTTTCTTGCTAAAATTGTCACTTTCAAAATAGTGCTATCTTAACAGTTTAACTTTTACCATATGTCAGAATTTTCCAACACTAATTCATTGGAAATGGGTTACTTGATACAAATGTTTAACAGTAAAATAGGATGTGATCTTACCTGATATTTAGGATGTTAAAGAAAGGTTGAATAACAATTACGTTTTATTGTAACAGTACAGAAGCAATGCCCATTTTGAATTGCAAAATTAATCCTTTTGTCAAAAAGTACAGGTTAGGAAAATAAATTTTTGGATTCAGCACAATAAAATTATGTAAGATACATCCATTCCCAACTTATACTAAAAATTCCCCTTTCTTCAAAATTCATGCTTATTTTGAGGTTTTCCATCTAGATTACCAGCACTTCCTTCCTAGTATAGGTTTTCGTGAAATGAGCTTAGCAGTTTGAAGACAATCTACAAAATTTGAGAAACAATATTGTCACTATACCTACAAGTTTGGTAATGTGTGAAGGTTTGTTATAGTTTTCTTTACCAAGTTTTGTTAGGAAAGAAAATTCAAGGTCAATTAAGTTGATTTCAGCAACAAGTGAGCAGATTTATCAACCATTGGTATTCTTTTTATCAGAAGAAAGACATGTTGAGACTAAACCTTTTTGATATTATTAATATAAACACAGTAAAAACTGCATTGCAAATATATTGTTTTACTGTGGTTCAAAAGTTAGAGGAAGAAATAGTAAAATATCTGAGTGAGTGTGTGTGTGTGTTTGTATGTTGTTCCTTGAATTCTATAAACACAGAACTCAATGCTCATTTAAACATTGAATATGTGAAAGTTTGTATGATGATGTTTTAAGGTTCAACCAGAACAGTCATAATGTCTTTCCATCATATTTAATGCATGTTATTGAGTGATAATGATATATCTAGAAAGCTCTTATGAATTTCATACTTGCTTGAAAAATATAAAGTTGACAAAATGAAACATGTTTTTGTTCTTCTATGAAGGAATTGCATTGAAAATAGAAGTATCAGTAGAACTACGAAGTACCCTTATTTCTTTTGGAAGGATGAGACTTTCCACACATCCTTATTTCTGTCTATAAAGTTTGATTGTGTGTGTATATAAGAATAAGTCATCTGCTGTGCTCTAGCTTTAGACATCTTATAAAGAGAGAGGCTGTATGGGGGATATGTATAAACAAGACTGCAACCCCTTGTCCTCACACATCATTGATGTATTGTTACATTATGTGAATTTTTATTGTGATTTAATGGTGCTTAAACTTTATTCAGTTTTGTTGTTACAAATACAAATTATTTATACTTCTAGCAACAGAAGAAGCTGTTTCCTTAGAAGAAAGATTTTCATATGCCAGTTTTAAGTTTAATGTAGCAAAAGAGGAACAAGAAGAGAACTGTAATGTACTCCCACAGAAGACTGAGGTAACTTGAAGACTAACAATTTTTACAGTTTTCTGATGACATTAATATGTTTAAGTAGCTATATTTTTGTTGAATTATACATGTTTTAACTGAACTTATAGAACTTTAAACAGTTAATATTTGTTTGTTATAAAAACACTTTATAGCATTGCTTCAATTTCTACACATGTATGTGTTTATTAACTGGTTTTTCTAGTCAATGCATCTAGAAGACATAGAAGTCCTGAGGGGTGGGGATGTGACATAGGGGAGTCAGATCTAAACACCAAACCCTATGCCACTTTCTGTGAGCCATAAGGGTACTGTTGCGTCAGCGAGGTCACATGACTAGTATCACGCCTCGTCCTTCTCGAACCTTTGTGAATTGTCGGGAGATTACTAGATATGTGTTAGTCCTGTATATATATAAGACGGTCACAACGTGACGGAACAATGAATGTGTAATTGAACTAAGTATTGTTGGAGTCGAGCACGTGAGACGTACGTTGAGAATTATAGCGTTTGTTATAACGCGACTGTTGAAATTAAGTGTACCGCAAAATTATATTCAGAAAGAATAATCCAGTTAAGAAAGGACTTGTGTCGCTAAAGTTTCGTGGGAACGAATTTACGGAAAATTAATTAACAAACGGAGACGTAACAAATTGGTGTCAGAAGTAAAAGTGATTACTCCATCACCAT